TTCTGTAAAAAAAGCATGTGATCTGTCACTAAGCACCAGTGGGAGATTTCCTCCGATTGCAGAAAGCAACCAAAAACATCTGGAGGGCCACACGTTCCTCTTTCCTGACAAAGCAGATGGCTGCATGGGGCTTTCAAAGGCCAGAGAGGAAAATCTCTTTGCACTCTGGATAGCATCCGTTCCAAGCAAAATCTCCTGAACTGCAAGAAGCAGAAGCATGCAAAATACATCCCCATTGGCAAAAGCTGCTAAAATCCCATGGTCTGTAGGGTTTCCTTCAGGACAGAAACATATTCAGTTATGATGTTTCTCCTCAAGCCCCCCTACCAAAGCATAGAGTTTAAGGAGTTTTAACAACTGTTTCTAATGGTCCACAAAGTCGCAACATCCTGCAATAGAAAGTTCCAAAAGTGTTTCTCTTCTCTGAGTCAGACTGCCAGTCAGTCAGCCAGCATGGGGGCAGGAACTGAGCCTAGGATGACAACCAGCCTTCCCTTATTCTCTATTTTTATGAGCCATCACTCAATTAAGGGGGAATTACTCACTGCAGACAAAGGGAAAACTTTGCAGGTTGCTCTCCTATCCTGTCAACCTCACCCTTCTGCTCCCTTCTTACTATCCTTCTCCCATTAACTTCCTTAGTAATCTAAGAAAAAGGGAAGAGAATGAGAGCATGAGCCTGCAAATACAATGCGATGAGAAGGCAGGGTCATGAGGGTAATAAAACAGACTGTTCAACTGAGATGTGTATGCAGTGGGGAATCAATTTTGTAGATGCTTCTCTGTGTAATAAACCAAACCAAAACCCAAGCTACTGTGCAAGTAGAATGCTAGCATATCAGGGAAGGAACTCTTACCAAAACCTTCCCCTCTTGTGTGCTTTCATTCTTTGTTTTGAGTTATGATTTTACATCAGGGATGGGCCCTCCAGATGTCGTGGGACTGCATCACCCAGCAGTCCCTCACAACACCACCAGTCTTAAGGAATACTGGAAGCTAGCAGTTTACCAATATCTGAAGGAACACATGATGTCTACCTGTTTACATGGATGGTGTTTTAAGACAACATTCTGTCCTCTGCAGTCTGAAGTATTTAAGAGCATCCTTACCACCACAGGGGTATTCATCCACTTTATTCTACTACATGGAGAGAGCAGGCATGTAAGTTAGGCATTCACTACAGCAGGGGGTAGAATACAGAGGCATAGGGCCTTTGCAGACTGCCAGAAATAGTGCAAATTGAGTCC